GGTTCGGTGGGGCTGATCGATCCAAGAGTTCTTTGAAGTGTTCTACTCACCTGTTTCGTTGTTCTTCAATGTTGGTGATTACCTTGCTTTCCTTGCTTTTCACTGGTCGCTCCGGTTTACGTTGATTTCCAGAGAGTTTTTTGTCGTGTCATACAGTTGTCTCATGTTTCCCTCTCTTGCAACTTTTTCTGCCGTCGTTGCTAAATCTTCCACATATTTACGTTTGTCAGTTCTGATGCTCCTCTTCACTTGCTTGTTTACTTCTGTGTATTCAGCTTGTGCCTTAGCTTTTTCTGCTCTTGTTCGGCTGGTATTGATTGCTGTTTTCTTGTTCCTCCTTTCTTGAATCTTATCCAGTGTATCAACAGTGATCTATTCCTTGTGATGGTGCTTCTTGTGGCGCAGAACCTCATGGCATGTTGAAGTGATTGCTTTTTTGACCCCCTTCCAGTTGCCGTCCATAGTAGTTCCTTCTCCATTGAGTAGATCATGAAAGGCCTGGAACTTATTGCTGAGGAGTATCTTGAATTCGTTGAGTTTGTCAGTATCCCGAAGAAAGGCCGTATTGAACTTTTGTGATATTGCCCGCTCCTTTGTCCAGTACTGCTTGAGTTTCAATTTCATCTTGACGACCAGCAAGTGATAATCTGATGCTATATCAGCTCCTCTCTTGGTCCTCACGTCTTCCATCGTCCTCCTGAACTTTTTTTGATGCAGATATGGTCAATTTGGTTTTGCGTGGTGTGATCCGGTGAAGTCCATGTGATTTTGTGAATGCGCTTATGTGGGAATATAGTTCCGCCTATGACCAGTTTATTGGAGGCACATAGGTTTGCAAATCTCTCACCATTTTCATTCCTTTCTCCCAGTCCGTGTTGTCCCATGATGTCTTTATATCCGGTGATGTTCATTCCAACCTTGGCAGGTGCTTCATTGTACCAATGTTTAAATAAATAAATAATAGTAACTTACGAGTATCGTCTACCCTTAATGGTCACAGTTTGCAGCCGTAAAGTAAAGCAGAACGAACTGCTGCTTAGTGTACTTGTTCTTTTAATTGATAGACTGGTATTTCACCTTCGCTATAGGTGACGTAAGTTGGTAAAAGCCAAACGAGATTTTGGGATCCGTGCAGAAATTTCGTCAGACACCAAACCATTCGGGCTGACCAGACTTTCAAGATAAGTCAACTTATCGAAGCGTTCGATTACCCCTATCCCTATCCTTAGTTCAGGTGTTGGCTCAGGCCAGTCCTTAAGCAACAATTTGCATCCTAAACATCCTGGCATTGTTGCTGAATGCTACCAAACGACTGCATTTTATCAGCATCTTCATGAAACAGGACTATGTCATCTACGTATTCTAAGTCAGTAAGTGGGCCTCTTGGTAGATCGATTCCCAAATATTTAGACAACGGGAACGTTATTTTTATCAGTAGGTCTATGATGAATTTGAACAAATATGTAGATAATGGATAACATTAATGGACATCACTTGAAGTTGCAAAATCAGATGACAGTTCACCATAAGCTCTGACTCGGCTAGTAGAGTTCGAATAAAGAGCTTTCACAAGGTTATGTACTTTTGAGGTACACCTTTCAATGACAGATACTGCCGCAGAACCTATTGGTCTACAAAATCAAATGCCGCTTCCAAGTCAAGGAAAACTATCATTGTCGGACGCCGATAAGTATATCTATGTTCTAAAGCCTGACGAATGTTGAATGTGGTTGGTGCAGCCACTACTAGGTCTGAAGCCAGCCGGATTTTCTTGTGTTTACAGTCCATCTATTTTGCTTTCATTACCTACTACTGCTCACGATGGTTCCAAAGAATTTTGGTTAACCTAGATTTCATCTGTTTTCGCTCGTCATCGTGTTCGAAACCTAACAGGATGAGTTTATGACAATCTATCCGTGCAAGACTTATCATAAGTCCACTGGTTTTTCGTGACCCTTTGGTTCAAATGACCAATAGATATCGCTGCTGTTTCTATAGCTGTTCGTTTATCTTTCTGTTAGCGGGATATAGATTGGATTAAAGCATGTCACGTACAGGATTGTGATGGGGTACGCTGATTGGTTATTTTCTAACCAGTTAGTGCTAGCGGAAATTCGGTGCAGACTAGAGTCTTATGTAGAAATTATGAATACACTAACGCTTTTCTTATTGTGATTACTACTTCCACCCAACCTTTTTATTTGAAATGTAAATACGTTCCTGTCCAACAGTGTTTTGATTTGGGGGCTGGTCGAGTGAAGTAGTGTCCGAAAATACTAAGCAATAAGAGTACCTGGGTCAGCCTTGTTTTCGAAATTGCCTAAGTGTAATTTCAGTTGTTCCTGGAATCTACCTTTGACTTTCTCATCGCTAAGTTCAACTCAAGTGGGTCTTCTTAATGTAGTTTTTCTGCGTCCAGTGAGGCGCAAGCAAATATTTGCTCGTATTAGAACATGATCAGAGTCTAAACATGTATTCCAGGACGAGCGACATGCTTCTACCGAGCCTCTCCAACTATGACTAATGGCAATATGGTCTATTTGAGTCCATCGTTGGTTTGATGTAGTGGATCGCCATGTTAGACGATGTCTCTCCTTTTGCTTGCTAAAAATAAACGATTGTCTGAGCACAGTTGCAGCAGACGATTACCATTATCTGTTCGCTGAGCCGGAATACCAAAATACCCACCTCAATGTCTTTCTGCTTGGTTTAAGCTACCTACCTGGGCATTAAAGTCCCCTGCCTCGAGTTCAGAAAGCCCTCTATGAAATTCATCTTCCACTTCATTCAGTTGGAGCGTAGGCAGAAATGACGAAAAAGCAACTGCGTTTATCCCCATCCTTTTGAGTTCCTACGGGGTTGTTTAATCGGATCCAGGGATCCAATCTGAAAGTATTTCTTCTACCCTCGCACTCAGTGCTATGCCTACACCCGCCAGTTCACGAGAGCTAGCCATCGGGTCGCTAGATAAACGGAGGGTGTATCTCGTCGGCTCCGTTTTGGTGAGGTGAGGTCAAGTAAGTGATCACACTAGGACCCTGTATGCGTGTTTCGAAGACACAGCATACATCAATGGTACGAGATTCTAGGTTTTTAGCCAAGGAGACCTTCTGGCCGGTTTCACACAAGGGACGTACGTTAAAGGCTCCAAAGTGTAGTTTGGAGCGAGGTTTCAGTAGACTTGAGACAGTGTTTCGCGCACTAGAATCTTTGGCCATGGTGACACTTGAAAAGGAAGTTTCGATTTGAACGTCAAGGTAAGAGAAATAATAGGAATTAAAGAGGGAAATCGATTATGAAAACAGTGATTTTGATTGCTATTAGAGGTATGAGGGCGGTTATCACTTCCCGGTTGCCCACACCGTGGAAGGCTTTTCCTAGAGGTACGTGAAAAGGGAATTGGGTTAGTTGGTCTTAGTGACCTGAGTGTGTGACCGCAGTGTCTAAGAAACAACTGCCTGAGGCCGGTCACACACGACCTTTTTGTGAGTAACTGTTGTGTTGGCTCCGTACTTGTTGAGACCTTATCACCGAAGACGGAAATCCGTGGGATAAGGCGAGGTGTGCATTTTTAGGGTCGACCTTTCCTAACCCCATTTTTCGTTTGTATGAAGGGTGGCTTAGACATGCCTTAGGAACTCGACATTGCGCACCATTTGCCGACCTTGTGACCGGTTGGAAAAGCAGAGAGGTAGTCGTTGCACGACTTGGTGTCGTGGTATGAAAGAAAGCTGTGCAGGACTGGCTTCTGTTGGACCTTCGCGACCCCCAGGTTGGGGTCCTACATATGGTGCAACACATTGGCTTGAGAAGTTATCAGACATGACTCAGAATAGAAGCCAGTGGCAATCCTGTAGTATGTTTCTTTTAATTCATTAAAGTAAACGTAATTTCCCTAACTGAAAGAATTTTTTCGGGTTGTATATATCTTGCCTGAACTGCTTTTCCCATTATTAATATTATTATTTCACTCTCATACGCTATTTTTTGTTGATTGCTGCTCTTCTTTTATTAAGCCCATCCTCCATTCTCTATCTCCTTAGAACCTCATTGTGTGGCTCATATGCATTTGATGGCCCATTGCGACAATGTTTGTGTGTTTAAATAAATAAATGACTCGAATGGTCATAGCAAAAGCCGTCATATTGTCTTATAAAACCAAAATGATAATTTACATTCAATAGGGAATCTATATTCCTTAGGCCTTAGGTATCTACATCTGTCATTTCACATCCTCAATCTTTGATAATCTCCAGAATTTTCGCCATGCAACGCTTAATATATGTGTATCTGGCGAATTCCTCTCGAATATTTGTATATTGGTAAATTTATGGACATTCATGAATTGTAACATATTAGACTTCTCCAGTCACTCATATGCTGGCTGTCATAATAGTAGACTAGAACAGTGACCAGGGGTGAATTTCACACGTTCTTTCAACATGTGTTTGTGGTAATTAAAGAATAGCAATCAGAATAAGCGGTTCAAATTTGACTTATAGTTTTGGATTTTATTTAGTGTACTCTGTAGTTGGTCGTACGTACGTACGAAGTTCTACGTTGTTACTGACTGACTGAGGCTTTTAACATATTATATACTCTGTCTTACGCTTTCACTATTTTCTTTCGCCTTTAATTTCCGTAATGCTTATCCTTATTTTGCGCTGCTTGATAGAATCTCTTTTAATTTCTGAAGTGTAGTAACTTGGGTACTACGTTATATCTATCTGTGTACTCATGTATTTTCAAACTTAAGTAAAGTGATAGGGTTCGCGTATGTCTTGTTTCGTCACCTGATAATACAAATAGCTAGGGTAAAAGACATTGTTGCTACCATCGTCCGTACTACGCAATTACATATTAAAAAAAGCAATCTCTTAACATGTCACTGAATTATCCTTATTTTATGGATATAATTTATATTCATGTTAAAGAGGTAATATTGTCGCTCTCTTTTCTGTATGATCATCATGTTTCAGTTTTTTCTTATTTTTATCTAGAAACCCAGAATTATGCACTCTCTGTTCGACATTATGACTCCGAAAAAAATATGTGGGTTGTAAAACACTATCGCATTCGGATCCTTGATAATAACGGTGGCTTCTTTATTAGTATTCGCACGACCTTCCCGAATATTCAGGACCTCATAAATTATTATACAGGTATAATGTTAGATATTCCACATAATTTTATTTTTATAATTTCTTGTAACCATTATATCATTCAAACTCCGCCTGTAGCTCTTCTGGGGTCACAAACCCGGGTAAAGAGGAAGGGTTGGGCGTGGGGTCAGCAACCCCATCTCGTAGAAAACAACCTAGCTAAAAAACACTAACCATAATAAACAATTTAAACCATTTAAACTCTATCCTGGGAGCTAAAGGATCGTTCAGAAGAATTAGGATGCCTACATTCATTTTTAGATCAAATTTTTGGCTTATCTGACTGGTGAGTCTTTGAATTATGATTTTCCTTGTTGTTTTCTCTCTCGAAACCTCTCATACACATTCTTGTCATCAAAATCCCCTAACATCAGTTTGTCTCCAGACTAGAAACAAATCTACCAAATGTCTGGATATTATGTTCAATGTAGGTTTCACTGTAACGTTCAATGGTTGTACATTATTTTCTGGCGACTGACTAATTTTTTCAATCATAACTTTAAACTACTGCGATCTGAGTCGATTCACTTAATTCTTAAGAGCTTTAATAATTCATTTATGCAAACCAAAATAATAACTCTCATAAATATTCAAATATTCGGTATGGAAACTATTTTTCATAATACTGTGATCAATATCAAGGTGATAAATCTAGAAAATCATCCATACCACTATTTATAGCATAAAAAATCACTCTTGCCAAAAATAGTCGAGTCATCAGTAATGATTTTTAGCAAAACAGTTTAATTCATGTCTATAGCTTTATATTTTTCAATGAGCCTGAAATAAAATCGACATTGTAGAATTAGCAATGGTGTTAAATGAACTGTACGATATAGAAATTCCTGGATCTGTCTAAAGCGTATTCTAGTAGCTACTAATGAACTATTTGTCTAAAACAAAAAGAAGACTGTAAACACACGTGAAGATAGTGTATTGGAACTAGATAAATAATATACAAAAGAAATATCTTTCCATACAGGTATGATATCCGTTGCTTCGATATATGATGAATTCAGTGAGGCTGGTCTATTTAAGAGTTCCTCGAAGTGTTCTATCCACCTGTTCCGCTGTTCTTGAATTTCAGTGATTGACTTGCCTTCTTTGTCCGTGACCGGTCACTCTGGCTTATTATATTTCCCTGCCAGTTTCTTCGTCGTATCATATAGTCGTTTTATATCTCCTTTTCTTGCATCTTTTTCCGTTGTCGTTGCTCTTCCACGCATTGCTAATTATCGACTCTAATGGTCCTCTTCACTTTCTCGTTTATTTATGTGTATTTATCTTGTTAATTGACTTTCTCTGTTCTTGTTCAACTGGTGTCAATCACTTTTATTGATCACCAGTAGGAATCATTTTATCAACCGATATACTTAACGTGGCCTAAGGTATTTCTCATGACTTCTTCAATTACTAAGTACAAACATTTATTCACTGCTTCCAGACATCTTTGTTCCAATGGTTAAGCAGAAAGTCTTATCAAAACTATGTAAGCTGTTATCAATCACATTCCGCCTGTAGCTCTTCTAAGCCTGTGTAGAGAAGGAGGGTTGGGCGTGAGTTTAGGGACCCCATCCTGTAGAAAACACTCTAAAAAGACGCTAACCAGGAAAAAACAATTCAAACCATTTAAACTCTGCCCTGGGAGTCAAAATGTCTTCATTTAGAACAACTATGACGCCTCATGGTGAAAGCCTAGTTCCTTTGGAAGTCACGAAGCCGATGCCCCTTCTAACCAACCAAAGCAACAATTTTTATAGGTACATGGAACGTCCGGACAATGTGGGAGACTGGGAAGACCAGTCAACTAGCAACGGAAATGAGGAGATACAACTTGGCAGTACTGTGAATCAGCGAAACCCATTGGACCCAAGCTGGATAAAAAAGGCTAGATACGGGAGAGACGCTGCCATACTCCGGTCACGAAAAGGAAGATGCTCCACACACTCAGGGAGTTGTTCTAATGCTGTCCAAAATAGCACGAAATGCACTTGTGGGATGGGAATCTCACGGATCCAGAATCATCAAAGTGTCATTCAAAACAAAGAAGGAGGGGATTACAATTAATGTTATCCAATGTTATGCACCCACCAATGATAGCAATGACGTAGATAAAGATCAGCTTTACGATAGGCTGCAATCGATCACAGCCAGGTGCCCAGGGAAGGACCTGACCATCCTGATGTAAGATCTAAACGCCAAGGTTGGAATAGACAACACTGGATATGAAGATATTATGGGACGACATGGACTGGTAGAGAGAAACGAAAATTAGGAAAGATTTGCAAAGCTGTGTGCATTCAACAAATTGGTCATAGGCGGAAATATATTTCTACACAAACGTATACACAAAGCTACACGTACCTGAACTGCATCATCGATAAACAAGGAGAATCAGATTCAGACGTAAATGTGAGGATTGACAAAGCATGAACAGCATTCCCACAGTTGAAGAACATATGGAACTCAAAACAACTGTCAACCAATATCAAAGTTAGAATCCTCAATACGAACGTCAAGACTGTTCTAATGTATGGAGCTGAAACTTGGTGAACTACCACAACCATCATCGAAAATGTACTAGTCTTTATAAACAATTGTCTGTGTAAGATACTCAATGTCCGTTGGCCGGATATCATCAGCAGCAGCCTTCCGTGGGAGAGAACAAGTCAGCTTCCAGCTGAGGAGGAAATTAGGGAAAGACGATGGAAATGGATAGTACACTCATTGAGGAAACCATCAAACTGCATCACGAGACAAGCGCTGACTTGGAATAGTGAAGAGAAGTGGAAACGTGGAAGGCCAAAGAACACATTACGTCGGGAAATACAATCAGATATGGAAAGGATGAAAAACAAATGTAAAGAACTGGAAAAGGGATGTCCCAGGACAGAGTTGGATGGAGAATGCTGGTTGGCGGCCTATGCTCCTCCAAGAGGAGTAACAGGCACAAGTAAGATTATATTATTCGGGAAATTACTTCATCCTCACATTTCTATAGAGCTCTTAATTTGGCTATAGTTTTTATGATGGATAATATTATTAATTCACTATATGTCATTGTTTTCTCATATATAATTCGAAAATCGTTTCGATCAGCATCTTGTGAAAAATTCACTCTCACACAAGAGTGATTTATTTATTTTCAAGCTTATTTGATTTGGAATAATGTTATATGGAAGCAAACATCAGAGTTTTTTATTTCCATCTTACTCAGTAACTGAGTGGTTTCTTCAAAACAGTAAGCTTCACTGTGTAGAAGTTCCTTTGTACCAAATAATCCATTCACTTCCATCTTTAGGTAAATAATTACCTCTGAAAAAATGATGCTGATGATTGATAATAGTCAGTCGGTCCGTTATCATCAGTCTAAGAACCGGCAGTAATATCCATCAGCCCAAGTTGTAATACCAAATTAGCACAATGAGATGAAATTGGTAAGTAAAATAACAAAATGTGACAGTTTAGTTCAACCTGCGTATGGTAATCCGTTTAGCTACATTCTGGTGAATGAAGTAACGTGATAAAACGGTCTTGTTTAGATTAGGTTATTTGTTTTATAGAATGAATAAAGCTTAAATAAAACGTCACTACATTGTAAATTTGTTCCAAACACAAAAGTATAATTGACATTTTGGGGAAAAAGATTTCTCTTTTTAACTTATTTTCATGATCATTACTTATCAGATTTTAAAATATTTTTCTCATTCACTTAAATATGGCGCGAATATTTTGTTTTACAGTACACCCAGATGGTTTATGCTGTCGATTGTCTATCCCATGCCCACGTGCATATCGTCCACCCGTGCAATTTCGTGATTTTGAAATTAATCGTGATAGCATAACAAGAATCCGAAAGTTGGGTCAAGGTACATTTGGAGAAGTCTATTTAGCTAAATGGAATGGTTCAGTCGAAGTAGCAGTTAAAATGAGACTCGATCCTACAGATCGTAGTCGATTTATTGAAGAAGCACGCCTTATGCATGCTTTTCATCATCCACGTATTGTTCAACTTTTGGGCGTATGTACTGAACCGGAAGACCAACCAGTTTATATTATTACTGAATTAATGCGCAAAGGAGCTTTATATGATTTTTTACGTACAGAAGAAGGACATAAATTGACTTTGGATGATTTAATTGATATAATGGCACAGGTGTGTGTACATTTTTGTTACTATTTTAAGTTATTTGTACAACCAGTTTTCGCTTTGATTAAGTTAAGTGTTTACCATCTTCAGAAGCTAAATTATGATATAGTTTGTTTTTGTTTACTAGCTTGCCATCCTTGTTGTATCTGTAAATAATAATGAGGCTAATTGGCACAATAATTAAACTGACAAAAAAGATAGTGGTATGTTGAAAATTAGATGTCACTTACTGGTGAAGATTTCATAGATTAGTGTTCAGAAACAATCTAGATGTTGATTCTTCAACATCATAAATCTCGGGTTGCATTTCTGATACTTATTTAATACTTGTGTAGAGTAATGACTTAGTGGTTAATGCATTCAACTTCTAACCAATATCTCTGATATTCCAACCCCCACTTAGCATAAATAGACCTCACACAAGGTGTGACTCATTAGATAAACATGTACTTGTCATTTGGCAAATAAATCATAAATATAATATTTTTCTGTTCGGGAATACAAACTTATCATATTTACGTTCGGTAGTATTATCAGTGACCGTTGTACACTGATCCCAAGGTCCGAGGGCGGAGTCGTACTGCTGACTGTACAGAGGTGTGACGGCAATAAGGTGTTTCCTTCAGACAACCAACATAACAGCGACACTTTCTTCCCACAAACGAAGGATGGGGTTAGAAAAGGTCGACCCTAAAAATGCACACCTCGCCTTATCCCACGGATTTCCGTCTTCGGTGATAAGGTCTCAACAAGTACGGAGCCAACACAACAGTTACTCACAAAAAGGTCGTGTGTGACCGGCCTCAGGCAGTTGTTTCTTAGACACTGCGGTCACACACTCAGGTCACTAAGACCAACTAACCCAATTCCCTTTTCACGTACCTCTAGGAAAAGCCTTCCACGGTGTGGGCAACCGGGAAGTGATAACCGCCCTCATATCTCTAATAGCGCTCAAGACTACTGGAATGAATTTAACGTACGGTCTGTTATTTTAGGATTATTGCACAGTGATAAAGTCAAATTGTCTGTCTTATTATATTTATTTGACATTAATTAATGTATTCCACGGGACGATGTATTGTAATTTATGAAATTAAAATAATATGAAAAAGGAATAATAAGGAAGATAGCATGTTACATTTTTTGTGGTAATTTAACCCAGGTATAACGATGTCAGAATAGATTACTCAATTTGAAGGTTTTTTTCCTATCATAATAATCTATCAATATTTCGCTTTACGACAAAATACGAATAGTGTATTTTATATCACTCAAAAATAGCCGAAATATATTAATCTTTGAAGTGTTCTCCCTTCACTTCAGTTTAGCTTTGGATGCTCATTGGAAATATACTAATTCTTTGGTGTTTGGTGAATTTAACATATTATATATAGTGTAATAAATAGATACAATTTTGTTTGCTTTCTTGGGAGGAAACTGTAACAGTATTTTATTTTACTTTGATAGATGATTGATTTACAACTAGTTATCTATATTTCTTTTTGTGTGCCTTCCTACGACTGTTATTGTTTTTCAAAAAAACCAAACCATTACTATACTGACATTTAATGTATTAGCTTATATTTTATTAGTTAAGTCAATTCACGAAGTATTGGCTGATGTCATATTTATCAAGCACTTCTTAGTGCTGATTGGAATCTATCAACGAAGTTGTGATTCGACCACTAGTTTGAGTGATTCAACATCACCTGAACATGTTGAGATGTTACGTGGTTGACCTACTAATCATCACTAAAGACTTGACAAACGGAACATTAGCCACGACTCAATGGTCAATCAGTTGTGAACATCTCAATCCTAAAAATGGTCAACAGTGGCTCAAATAAGTTGGATGCCCCAAAGTTCACCAGCTCTACCAAGATTACTTGTACATCTTTCTGACGAGTGCCAAATAACACGGAACATATATCCAGTTTTTTTGTTACCGAAATGTGATCCACTTTCGTTTCGCACAACTGCGTATTGCCACGTAAACCTTACCTGACAATAGTCTACCCTAAAAAGCCCGAATATACATGCTGATAGCTGTTTACTGAGTCACATATATAGAACATGGCCTCTAAAAGTAGGGGGTATTCGTAGGCTACTAGTATTCGATTACAGTTGTCTTCGGAGCCTTGCTCGTATATTTATTTATTTTGATGGTAAACCAGTTGATGAGGTTGTAAATCTTCATCGACTGAGATGTTTTGGCTACGTGTTACGTATACCCGAACATCGATTACCACGACGCGCAATGCTGACTAGTGTTGCAGACGGATGAAAGTTAGGGGCGGTCAAACAAAAACGTGGCATCAGTCTTTGAAGTCACTAACTTCTAGTATGAGCCATGTTGGTAGACGCAGACTACTTGGTTGGGGTCCACGTGACTATCGTAACCAATGGTTGGAGACTGAATGACATGGCTCGAAATCGACCACAACGGCGTAGGTGTATACACTCTTTGTCTTCCCTTAAACTGCGAGATTAAAATCGCCTTATGTCTTTCATTCTACGGACTAATTGTTTCTTCCTGTACTCAGTCAGTCAGTCAGTAACAACGTAGAACTTCGTACGTACGTACATCAGTTCGAGTTGCCACACCACATTAGCACACAGATGTAGTGGTCGATTGAAATCCCGTAGTGGTAGAGGTAATAAGAGTATAAGCAGTAATCGGGAAGATTAGGGTTTAGAGATGTTATTTCAAGAGTATAATCCAGTGAAATAAATTTGGGAAGAGAAAAAAAGAGACAAGGAGGAATAAGGAGATCAAAATTTGGGAGAACACAAAAAGTGTATACACCTGCGCCATTCCTGTACTATATCCTTGTATACAATCTTTCTTTTATATATTACTACCATTGAAGTAACTACTATCAATTTGTTGTCCATCTTGCTGTGCTAATGAGGTGTGGAGACTTAGACCGATGCATATATGTGCCTGGTCCTACGTTGTAGACAACTGACTAAATGCTCGGATATTTTGGTACAATCGAATTACCAATTTTAAGGTTAGACGTAAGCATGCTAAATCAATTGACAACGTGGTTAATCTTTATTGACTGAGATGGTTAGGACGTGTATTATAAACGCTCATCCACCAACTATTTTGATGCACGATATGGCTGATGTAAGAGTAGGTTGGAAGAAAGCTAAGGGTGGTCCAACTAAGGCATGACATCTATCCACAAACTATTTGGTTTCAGTCATGTATTTAGGTGCAGACTACCCGGTTAGGATCCATGTGATTATCATAATCAATCGTTACAGATTTTAAAATCGTTCGCGATGACGCAGGTGCAGTTACTCTTATTTTCCCCTACATCCTAAGTTTCTCATAAATTTATTTTATGATTTAACTAATTTATATTTCCCTCTCGAACTGTGTCATGCATTTTTAATCTTTCCTATTACCGTTAATCCTGTTACTACCTGTACTACTCTGGGATTCCCTCTAACAATTTCATCGCTGTGCTAATAAGGTATCGCAACTTGAACCAATATATACAGGCACCAGGTTCTGCGTTACAACTGGTTGACTGTGCATTAATGTTCACTACATTTTCTAATTAAATTAAATTCAGATTAACCTTTTTTCTTTTTGAATTTCAACCGTACAGATTGCTAGTGGTATGTCGTATTTGGAAGAAATGAATTCTGTTCACCGAGATTTACGTGCAGCTAATATCTTAGTGGATCAAGATTACTCAGTTAAAGTTTCAGATTTCGGATTGGCTAAAATTATTAGCGATGATTCTCATGCTGATCCAAGTAAGAAAAACCTGCTTTCTCGCTTGTCATTGTGTAATGGATTTATGAAACCGAAATATTTACAATTTCTTCTGAAAGATAATCACACACCGTGTTGAATTTTCACCGTTAAGATCATTGTTGAAACGTTTTTACAAGTAATACTTTAATTAATAATTAGTAATTACATCTAAAAACCTAATTAATAGGGGCACTGCAATTTACTCCATTTCGAAATAACACGGATATAGATAAATAACCCCAGATTTTGAAGTTGTCCTAACAATCTCATCTTGATTGTTAACTATTTTCAATTTTCATGGACCTGCTCCTAGACCGCCATTAAAAACCGGAGAGCATCGGAAAGCCGTTTCGTCCTAGTATAGGACTCTTCACCAATTCACACCGACCGCCACCCCCTGCAGAGGATAGAACCTAGGATCTTCTGTTTGAGTTATGAACTTATTTCTGGTCAGTCAGTCAATCAGTAACAACGTAGAACTTCGTACGTACGTACATCAGTTCGAGTTGCCACACCACATTAGCACACAGATGTAGTGGTCGATTGAAATCCCGTAGTGGTAGAGGTAATAAGAGTATAAGCAGTAATCGGGAAGATTAGGGTTTGGAGATGTTATTTAAAGAGTATAATCCAGTGAAATAAATTTGGAAAGAGGAAAAAAGGGACATAAAGAATTCAGAAGATTAGAATTTGGGAGAGATCAAAGAGTGGATGCACCTGCGCCATTGCAAACGATTTTGAGCCATGTCATTCAGGGTCTCTAACCATCGGTTGCTATCGTCTCGCGGTCCCCATCCAGGTAGTCTACACCTACCAACATGACTCAGTTCACTTGTCAGTGACTTCATGGATTTGTGCCATGTTTTGGTTTGGCCGCCCCTAGCTTTCTTCCAACCTACTCCTATACCACTGAACATAGCACGTTGAGGCAGTCGGTCGTTGGGCATACGTAACACGTGTCCCAGCCATCTCAACTGATGAAGTTTCACTACTTCATCAATTGGTTTGCCATCCTTACCTAGTATCCGTTTCCTAACAACTGTGTTACTTACTCGATGGTCCCATGATATACGAGCAATGTTTCTAAGACACCTATGATCAAATACTAGTAGCCTACGGATATCCTCTACTCTTACCGGCCATGTTTCACTGCCATAAAGTAGGATGGGACGAACTGCTGCGCAGTAAACACGTCCTTTGGTTGATAGACGGATATCTCGCCTACGCCATAAATGACGCAAGTTGGCAAAAGCTAGTCGAGCCTTCTGTATCCGTGCTGAGATTTCGTCACACACCAAACCACAAGGGCTGATGAGACTTCCAAGATAAGTGAAGCGGTCGACACACTCAACTACTTCACTCCCTATCATTAGTTCGGGTGTCGATGTAACCCAATCCTGAAGCAACATTTTGCATTTCGAGGGCGAGAATCGCATCCCGAACATGCTTGCATTGTTGCTTAGAGTGGCCAGAAGACTCTACATTTTGTCAGCGTCTTCACCAAATAGAACTATGTCATCGACATATTCTAAGTCAACAAGTGAATCTACTGGTAGACGTTCAACTAGAAATTTAGATGAGGAAAGTGTTATCTCTAAAAGCACGTCAACGACAAAGTTAAACAAGAATGGAGAGAGTGGACAGTCTTGACGAACACTGCTTGAGGTAATCAATTCTGATGACAGTTCGCCATAAGCTCTCACTCGACCCGTTGTGTTCGAGTAGAGAGCCTTTATAAGCTTAATGTACTTCTTTGGTACTCCTTTCAGTGACAAACACTGCCATAGAACCTCACGATCAACAGAGTCGAATGCTGCCTTAAGGTCGAGAAATACTACCATTGTGGGGCGTCTGAATGTGTGTCCGTGTTCTAGAACCTGACGTAGTGTGAGTATCTGATCTATACAACCACGTCCAGGTCGAAAACCAGCCTGGTTTTCTCTAATCTGCTCTTCACGAGCTTTGATTAGGCGTCGAAGTATCATTGAAGCTAAAATTTTAGACACTATATTAGTCAAACTGATTCCACTGTGATTGTCACAAGAGGACTTTTGTCGTTTCTCATAGACTGGCACAATCAGTGATTGAGACCAGTCTGATGGGATTACGTCCAGTTCCCAAATTCTACCTAAGACCTCGGTTAATCTGATTGCTAATACTGGACCACATCCTTAAAAATCTCAGGAGTAAACCTGTCGGGGCCTGCTGCTCTCCCTCATTTCAGATTTCCTATGGCCTTTTCAACTTCGTAAAGGGACGGAGGACCTACATTAACTTGCCATTCAGGTTGACTAGAGATCGTGGGAAACCGAAGTGTGGCTGAAGGCCAGTTGAACTAATCCCTAAAGTGTTCTGCCCATCGATCCAATCTCCTGGATTGAGAATGAATAATATGTCCATCTTTCTCTGAGATTGTTTCGCTAACGGTCGGGTTCCTAATTCCGGTTTCCTTAACGAGTCTGAACAATTGTCTGCTATTACCTATTGCCGCTACCTTTTCCATCTCTCTTGCCTTGCTACCCACCACTGTTCACGATCATTGCGTAGACTTCTTGTCAGCTTGCGCTTAAGCTGACTCCGCTCTTCATTATGTTCAGAGCTAGGTGGAATGAGTTTCCGAGCATCTATCAGTGAGATAGGTGCTGCTGAGATCCAGTGTTACTCCCTAACCTTCTGGTTTACCTTACTAGCAGATATCACTGCTGTTTCCACAGCTTTTCGGATATCATTCCATGTTGCATCGGGGTGGGCATCACATACACGGCTGCCTAACTGTTTTCCTAGTTGTTCCCCAAATATACTCTTAGCTTGACTATCATTAAGTTGGACCCTAAGAGGTTTCCTTGCAGCGTCTTTCCTACGTCCAGTAAGACGCAAGCAAATACGCGCTCACACTAGAGCATGATCTGAATCTAGGCATGTGCTCCAAAATGAGCGACAGTCTTCTATCGAGCCCCTCCATCGGTGGCTGATAGCGATGTGATCTATTTGGGTCCAACGTTGGGACAAATTAGGAGGTCGCCATGTTAAAAGATGTTTTTCCTTATGTTTAAAATTAGTATTTGCAAGGAACAGGCGGTTATCTGAGCATAGCTGCAACAGACGGTCGCCATTATCTGTTCTTTGAGCCACGACACCATAAGATCCACCTAGGTGTCTTTCCCTATCGCTTAGTTTACCTACTTGAGCATTAAAGTCACCGACCACTATTACTACATCCGAGCGCTTAGCTTTTCGGAGGAGGTCGGAGAGCTTTCTGTAAAACTCATCTTTTACATCATCTGAGCAGCAGGCAGTGGGAGAATAGGCAGAGACGACGAAGAGGCAACGACGAGTGTCCCTATCTTTCCGGATTCTTACTGTTCCGTTCAGTCGGACAGCGCACAAACGACTGTCTACTGGGATCCATTCTAAGAGAGCTAGTTCTGCCCTAGGACTCAATGCTATACCTACGCCGGCGAGGCCACGGGGAGCACAATCAGGGCTTCCAGATACACGAAGCGTAAATCGAGTCGGTTCTTTATTTTGGCATGGTGAGGTCAAATGAATGACGCTACTTGGATCCTGTATGCGCGTTTGGGAGACGCAGCACACATCGATGGCGCGAGATTCTAAAGTTTTAGCTAAGGAAGCCTGCTGTCCTATTTGGCAAAGTGTTCGTACGTTCAAAGCTCCTACGTGTAGTTTAGAGCGTGGTTTCAGGAGACCAGGAATGGCGTTCCACGTACTCGAATCGTTCGCCCTAGCGGTGCGAGGTGATAAAGAGACGTGAGTAGGGTTAGTCGGGGAGATAAGAGAGGTATTAAGAGGTGTAGGAAGGATTTGAATGTGACCAACTTGGTCTCTTGTGCTGTTACGGGTATGAGGGCTGATATCACTTCCCGGCTGCCCACACCGTGGAAGGGTATTTCTTGAGGAACCTGAAAAGGAAATTGTATTAGTGTTAATCTTGACGACCTGGGAGCGTGACCGCAGAGCCCAAGGGACAACTGCTTGAGGCCGGTCGCACACATCCTTTTTGTGGAAGGTTTTTGACGTGTTAGCTCCGTTCTTCAAAGGGCCTTACCACCGGAGACGGAAATCCGTGAGGTAAGGTGAGGTGTGCATTTTTAGGGTCGACCTTTTCTAACCCTGCCCCTCCTTGTGGGAAGGCAGCATCGCTGTCATGCTGGTTGTCCGAAGGAAACACCTTACTGCTGTCACACCTCTATACAGTCAGCAGTACGACTTCGCCTTCGGACCTTGGGTTTGTTGCTTTTAGTCTTACCGCTCTTCAGCCGACCTGTCTGACATGGTAGGACCTTGAGTAACGGTTGTTCCAGCCAGTGTAGCTCGGTTGGGTCATCACGATAGGCAAGCCCGATCACCGCGTCAAGGTAGCAGCTTCGATCGGGTTATTTCTGGTCACTGACTACTGAGACAAAACCTTATGTTATTCCACTGCCTTTCTGGCCAAACGTTCTTGTTAAAGAATCGTTGGGAGTAACTACTTGGTAAAACCCACCTGTTTCGGTTTAGGCAACTTAACAATATGCCAGCCCACACGCAAATATTTTTGTGTGGCTCATACTATTTTTTGACCTCCAGTTATACCAGATTTATGTAAACTAGATACATACGATAAAATGTTATTTTTATTATTTATTCTACCTATAGTTTATATAACAACAGAAAAGATTTTTTATCCTACCAGTTTAATATTTATATGAAGTTGGTTATTTAGTTCATCTAATTGTTGAACTGATTTTTTTCTTTCTCTCCCCTTAAGATACTAAATTTCCTATTAAGTGGACAGCTCCAGAGGCGGCTTTACAGCATATCTTTAGTATAAAGTCTGATGTATGGTCGTTTGGTATATTGATGTATGAAATAGTCACTTACGGTGGAACGCCTTATCCAGGTAACCAGTGCTGTTCATCAAAATTTTTGCATTCCGTTTATAAAAAAATCGATATTTTGATTACTCGTGGCTTATTTCTATATGTTACATATTTTGATTTGTGGGAAAAGTCTTTTCTCATCGCTTACTATTATATATAGAATTTATTTATTTGGACACATAAATGTTGGTACAAAGGAGCACCGAATACATATGGGCCACACAAGTCAATCGATTTGTGTGTGGGCTGTGATACTGCCCAGCAATAGGTTCATACACCATTTGTTCCCTCAAGATCCTGAAGCTCATGTGCACTACTGGTTTCGAATCGGGGTTTTCCAACCCCCATAGGTGAATCCTCCATATCCGCCAACCCAGTTCAAGAGCCTGACATTCGCTTTTCGTCCTCCCAAATCGTAAACAACACCCCACCACGAGAAGGCAGTGAGTAGGACTTCCCTGACAATGGCTGTATACGCGTGGCCATATGAGAGCATTTGGAGAGGGAGAGCGGACTCTCCCCATCCTCGGCCGTACCAGGGCATATATAAGGGCTAGTCGCAGCCAACCATTTGTCGAATATTCATGATCAGTAAGAGATTTGTATACCTAACTCCAATGATCTAATAATCAGAAATTCTTATAGCCACAATAAAGTTCAAAACTATGTACAATATCCTTCTTGTCTGTTGATTAGTGAAATATAATGATACTGTGGAATTGGTTTATTCAACGCATTCGGGGTCAGGTTGTAAATGGATTGATAGTAATTTGTCCAACTGTGCTTTCTCGTATTTTTTGGATAATATATCTTTGGTGATGTAGAATGGATAGAATGTGGCTACCAGTGTAATGAATGACATGCGTTTCGCTCTACTCTTCAGTTGGGTGTACCTGCATCCCAGAGTTTATGTTCACCCCGGGAGTCGAACCGAGTACCGTTCACTTCAAATGCCATCGGGTTATCCACTTAGCTACTGAATCTATATAGCAACTCACTTGTGCAATGGGTATGAGATTTAATTCAATTTGAAATATTTTCTCGATCATCCCGTTGTTGATATTGTCGACTGTGATTTAATCAGTCTTGGTTGGTGTATGAGCATCCTGTGCAGACTGTATAGATATAGCCATTATTATACAAGTTTATGTACATTAGATGACTGTGGGTGACATGGCTCAGAATCGATCACAATGGCGTAGGTGTATACACTCTTTGTCTTCCCTTAAACTGAGATTAAAATTATTTCACATATTTCTTTCTACGAACTAATTCTTTCCTTCTGTACTACATCCTTACATAAAATCTTTCCTTTATATATTATACCATTGAGTTAACTACTTCTATGAATCCCGTGTTCGTCTTGCTGTACTAATGAGGTGTGGCAACTTGGACCGATACATGTGTGTGCCTGGTCCTACGTTGTAACTGACTGACATTGAATGAAATGTGGCTAGCAATGGAATCCAGAGCTCGTGTTTCGTCCTTATACCAACGACTCCTGATCAAATATGCATATTTTTAGTGGTTATTATTTAATGTTAGTCATTTGCCAAGTACACATTTATGTAACGAACTTTGAGCCACACTTTGTATGCATCCATAAGGTCTAGTGATAAGTTGCTTGATTCTCTAAACGATTTTGAAAAATTTTCCAATTTTTCTTATCAATCATAATGTTAATGTGGAAGAAAAATGTATCATACAAAAGAAAAAAATCAAATTATATACTGTTTTCAATGAATAGGTTGAGATGGGTTTTTTGGTTTTTTCTGTTTTGCAGTTGAACAATCAGTAAAGATACTAATCCGTATGAGCCTTATTAACAATCTAACTCGCAAATAATTTATTTTCCTTAATGAAATCATCAACCATCAGCAATCTTTATCGATCCATGCGCCGTGACCACAAGTTCACTATCTCAGTCATAATTTGTTCATCCGTATAGTTAGTACTAACTAAATAGTATTAATTAATTGTCGAATTCGGAATAGTAGTGATACGGAGTTCAAACTTACGATATTTTAAACCCAAGTTCCCTAACCATTAACTAACTCGTTGTTCTCCTCTTTCCACTTTCACACAGGTTCAAATACTAATTTTCATTGTTTAGATAATCCTTTCCCTCATATTAACAGTAACCTTCATCAAACAGTCTCCCAAAGTGTGAGCATAATAATTTGTACAATGGTTGCTCAGTTAAATCAAACTGAATTACAATGTTAACGTGATATGACAGGTAATAATTAATGCTGAAAATCAGGTCTCTTTATTTGATTGGTGAGTGAGTGACCTACGGATTCCAACCTCGTACTTATTATTAAATGTCATCTAATCACGTCTTCTTGTATTTGATATCTTTGGAGTTAATCATGTCATTTTACTCGAGGTGAAACCTACTTCTTTGCTGCCATATGGTTTTTTTAATAATATTTCATTTGCGGGTGTGCATAGACAAGTCAATCTTATGAGCAGCTATCACTTGATCGCATAGTATGGTTTCGGTTCATCTGTCAGCCATATCATCGTATTCACTTTAAGAACCTTTTAGTATACGACGTTTTCATTCGTCAAATACTGAAACCTATCCTCCATAACAGGACCTCATCCACACAACTCATATTTTCTCACCCGTAAGACCGATAAACGTTTTTTGTTAGTTGTTACTATTTATCGGTCTATTTCTGCATTTTTCCATTCCGCTTCTGTCTAAAAGGTATTTTCTCGTAACCAAAATAATTTGTACTTGGGGATGTGGGAAAATACCTACAACTTTGTTTCCATAGTCTTATTGCATGCATATGTGGTTTTTTAAAATCTGTTCATTTCTGTCCATTGTTTTTCTTCTAGGAATGACTACTCGTCAGACAGTAGCTGAGGTTGAAAAAGGTTATCGATTACCTTGTCCTCATACTCCTGAACATCCTTGTCCTGATGACTTATACAATCTTATGCGAAAATGCTGGGACGCTAGACCAGAGAATCGTCCTACATTTCGTTCTTTGTATGATGTTTTTGAAAACTGGTCTACGCACACAGAAGCTCAATATCTAGATAACTAGAATCCAATCTTCCTTTTTTCTTAATAATCATTCCTAATTCATATTAATATTTCACTACGTGTACATCTCCGGTGAAGTATTTTTCTTCCTGTGAATTCTTGGTTTTTCTTTATGTACATATTAAATATTCACTTTTTGTGGCCAGACTGTTCAACGTGTATTGTACATTCATCTCTTTATTGTTTTATTAGCTACCTCTCTTGTCATTGATTTCTCCTACCTTTGTGTTTTCTATCTACTGTTTTCTGGTTTTAAAAAATGACACAGTATCCTGTTGTCTACAAATATATCCCGCGCCACTAAATTTCTATGTAATACTGATGTTTTGTGTCCCACAACTCTGTCGTACATTTATATTTATATCCTTCCAGTATTTTAAAAGTTATACTGCTTTTGCTTTCGTAGGCAAAGAAAATAGCAATCGTAATTTCCGATGAATACTTCCAATTCGCATATAGATTACTTTATAGGCCTCTGCATTTTCTCAAAATCTACTCATTTTAGCTAAGTTGTGTATATCAGTAACACTGCTAATCGATTTCGTTTTATATGTATTCTATAATTGTTATTCGGTTTTTGTAAATTATGTATATCGCATTTTTAGTGTAACTTTTTTCTAATCCTCTCAATATGCTTTTTTTTTCTAGACTACCTTTAAATAATTACATTACCTAACGTTTTTGTTTTTGTGTGTACAATATGAAGAGTAAAGTTGGCAAACAATTCCAGCACACAGCAAAGCTAATTATTATAACAATGTGCATCCAGTTCTTTTCTTTCTTTTTCTAATGCCTAGTGTATATCTGATGTAACCTGAGAAGTATCACTATTCTACTGCTGTAAACATCTTATTACGAATATATATACACCTTTTTAGTTGGAAACAAACTATTCAATGTCAGTATCACTCTACCGTCGTAGAAATACCTGTAAATTCTGTGTGTGTTCTAATCCACTTAGTGCAAGCAGAAAGCATATTCATGCGATTGTCTATATCTATTTTTATCGCTCTCTCTCTCTACCAGTTAATATTCGAATAAATTAATGTTTGATTCATTTTATTTCACTTAGTGGCGTTTCTTTCTCATAAGGGTGATCTCACTACTGGTTGAATTGGTTCTTGGATGAGATTCTTAATGTCAATATGTGCACATTGTTGAATCTGTATTCATTACTCTGATTGTTATATAAATTATGAATCTAAAAGATCCAACATACAACATTTTCGCTCTTATTCTTGTTTCATGCATCCTTTTCTAATTCTGCCACTGTTTATTGCCTATGAATTGATCAATGTATTTCAATTGCGTATATTATTCTTAGTCTTTCCTTTTATCCAACCGAAATGCAATTTTCGTGTATATGATTTGCGTTATCTGTTCACAACAATTATAAATAAAATACAATGTACTAAATTCTATTCAAGTTAGTTTTTTTAGTAAATGTATTTTTGTAGAAATTAGTTTAACTTGCAGGTTATTTTGATAATTGATTAATCTCATTTGGCGTACAAACCAAGGACCGAACTCCATAATCTTAAGTTCTCGCAGTGAGCGTTTAGCCATTAGAATAACTGAATATATGTCCAAAAGCTCATCCCAAGTTCGATGCCAATTATCTCTTGTTAGCTCTGATCATATAGTATGGTTAACAGCTAAGGAATTTTCATTCTCTATTTCAACTTAGATTCTATTTTTTCCGTTCCTTAATATTTCTGGAGATAACTTCGTAATTAATTCATAGATGAAATTCACTTTGCACGATTTGTGTGGATTTAAAGTTGAAGGTAAAAGTCAACTGAATCGTCATGTTTCTTTTTCATGGAGTTTGAATTGAGTGTAGATAAAATTGAAAATTGGATTTAGAATAATTAAAATAAAAGATTTGACGAATCCCACTGATTTCATTCGACTGTGAAGTGAATAGATAATATCAATCTAAAAAACTATTCAATAGCTGTTAGGCTCTTGAACACAAATCCCAAAATGTAGACTGAATATACTGAGATATCATTTTACTTGGTAACTTGTTAATTGGCTTCATCTATCAATATGGCTTATGTACTCTATCTTCTCAATTCAACCTAGAACGTAAACGGTAAAAAGGTGAACTTAAGTACCTCACTTATTTTTACACCAGTTTCAAATAATTGTTCCACAGTCGACTTAGTACATTTTAATCGTCTCAAAGTGAATGTATTCATTATTAGAACACATTCTCGTTATGTTTATGCGAGTATTCGTTAAAAATCGAATAAATGATTTGACAGATATTAAGCACCAAGCCCATAGAAGATATCAAATATAAAAATTATATTTGATTAATCTGAATGACTAAAATGTAAATAATTGCGATATTCCATGTGATGAATTTGCCTGAACTTCTACAGGAAGAAATAATGTATTTTATTGTTTTCCGCAGAGCATTTAATTTCGTGGACCTTCAGTCTCGCAAACGAACGCTTAACCTCTAAACCACTGAGCCGGCATCCAACGGTGTTACTCTCTAACTTTAATGAATGCACGATAGTGAACGACCATCTTTCATTGTTATTTGTTAGTATCTTCCTCACGCGTGACACGGTTTAGCTCCTTTGGTAACGGCTTCTCACTAGAATTCTACAATCTTTTATCGGAAGAGGCACTCTATTTCTTGAACAAATTTTTCAGACTACTTGTTTTGTTAGTTTATTTTTCGTTCTATTTTCCCTTTATTTTGTCATGTTTTACTAACTGGTTTATTTTTAACCTCCATTTATGGGTTATCTTTCCCTTTTTCACGTTAACACTAGTCATCAAAGTGGTAGATGATGAGATTGCTAGCCATTAGTTAAATTACGAACCGACCAAATTAAGATAACCATTGAAAACTTGAAAGCACTGGACAGCTGCTTTGACCTAGTACATATTTAAAACCTCACTACAGGAAATCGAACCCAGCATATTTAATCTTTCGAGCTATCATCTAGACCACTGAGCAGGGAGGGATCCAATAGCGTATTATTCAGTCACTTGGGAATTGTGATAAGAGCATATGTAGTATAGGCATACACTGGAGTGATTCTTTAAGTAGCTACAATAAATTTTGCTTTCATTCCTAACCAATCAGGAAACATTGTTGTAATTAAATAGGTTGTATAAAAAACTGGTAATATAAAGGTTATACATATTTTACATGACTAATTCATTCAATGAAGTTTTCGAATGTGTTTTCATATCTGTACAAGGAGAAGACAATAGTATGTGAATTTATCCGTGTTACAATGTAACATCTAACTTGTCAAACGCTTGTGAAGATGTAAATAGTAGGGTTTCTTTTTGAGTCCACACATTATTTCCGGTTAGACTTTTGTTTTAAAAATTTGATTGATTTGCGTGCTATTTACAATCTAAATGGAAACTGCTGAGGATTTGATAAGCGCAGAGCAATCGTTTTCGCTCTATGATTACCAAAGTAGATTTTTTTTATAATTTTAAACTTTCTGAGCAGCAGACAAAGTATTTCTACTGTTCACTTTATTACATATAAAATGAAGTACGGGGATAACCATCCCCTTTTCAATTGTGATATGAATGTGCAATGCCAGTACTGCATATATGAGTCAAAATTTTACTGGGAAATTCATTTTAATCATCTCAGACTATCTACATGTCTTATGTGAACACCCCAGCATAGCTCATTTCAATTTACCGGATAAAAATATAAATGAGGTGAAAGTTAGAACTTGAAATGGGATTTTCAGTAAAAATTATACTCTTACCTACATCATTCACTCACTGAATGGACGAAAAAATTCTGGATATAGGTTATATATTGAACATAAAGAAGTACATGCGATAAAAATCCACTAATATGTGTCCTTCTCCAATATAAGTCGCCATCTTTGAATTTCGCGCAAAAAAGTATGTCGATCCGGATTGGCTCGTACCCATACATACTTTTAGCCTATACTTTACATGAGTTCACACTTATACTTCTGTAACGGAGTAAATATTAAGTAAGGCTGAACTTCCTAAACTGTTTAACTCGAACTCATTATTTATGTTTTTGATGTATTACTAAATACAAATTTTGTATCCTTGTGTATGGTATCAAAATTGAAGATTTGTTGGGGGATAAAGAATAACATATATTAAGACAATTCGGAGTCATATCACACTACAGTTTGTGATGTGTATATCATGCAACATCCGTTCGTTGGCATATATCTGTGTGCCTCAGGGTTATATAATCGGGTGAAGTTGGTGGAAACTGTATGTATATGCTTATATTTGGAGCTGAGATAAAAGAAAATCGAATTACTTAAACTTGATATTGAATGTAATTCGGAAAACACCAAACACACACAAATCAAAATTCAAGACAATGTGGTAACAGGAACCAAAATACTAAAGGTGAAGTTTTGGATTATTCAAAATATCTCATACTTCTATTTTTAATTACCTAACAAAATACATTTATGCGTTCAGAACCGGTATCTCTGTCATCTACCCATCATTTATTTTACTGTTTTAAAGGCCACTTACAAGCTATTCGTACTGCGGAATTTACAATTAACAGTGTATTTTATATAGATTGTAAAATTCTCTTTTCTAACCGATTACATGTTTTCCCAACGCTTAAAAGGTCGTTTTTCTTTTGATCGTTAGTTGTACCCTGTCATATCGTGGTTCTTGTACGCTTTCGATCTTCGCTTTATTTAATGATGTAATACAGCATTTGATTATGATAATAATTCGGACTGACTATACGAAACAATAAATTGTTTGGATGGCGCAGAATATATTAAACTTAATTAGCAAATTACAAGAATATAATAAGGTCTGGTTTATGGTAATATTCTTCCTTGTCTAGTATTTCCATAAATAGTTCCCTTGACTAGACATAAATCGCGTTAAGAATAAACAAAAGCAAGACTTATTCCAGTGAACTGAAAAAAACCCACTGTAGTGAAGGTAATAGTTTATATTAATTTACAAAAGAAGCTTCCGTAAACTGATAAAACGTCGAAGAGCTTGAACCATTCTTAAAATTACCCCGTGATTTCAAAATCACTTTTTAGCCAATGAACAGAGTTTGTATGAATCAAACAGAACCCATTAGGACTTCAATGATTCTAAAAAGTTATTCGATATTTAAAGACTTATTATCAGTTCCACAATGATAATATTGTAGAAGAGGGATCACTACATAACTTCATAAATTTGAATGCGAATGTATTATCGCTAGGCGTTCCTTTCTGCACTTTATTCATACGCATAAGGTGTCAAATCCAAACTACGTTTGGACTGCTGGACAGCTGCCTGGATGAATTAGATACGCGCCCTCGCCCGTTTGAAACCAAAACAAAGTAATTGGGTAAGATAGCGGTTCTATAATTTTTCATAAATTTAAGTGTACATTATTACTTAAACAAATATAACCACTCAGCTATCCAACCAATAATTGTTCAATTGATCAAATCTAAACTACCATAAATAAGAAAGTTGATAAAGGATGCAAGAAAATTACCAATCACCACAAATAAATGTTATTCTATCCTATCTGCATAGATCATGTACAGATTCGTTCAAAAGGTAATAATTGGTCGCTCTATAACACAGAGTGTTTTCAATTCTGGAAGAGTGCTTCAATTCACAACCAAAATGCACAATTCCAGTCAACACAGGTCAAGCAATCAAAAGCAGGAACCAACCAAAATGGCTACCGCTCAGACTTAGTATAAAGTAAAACAACATAAGTGCAGTTCGGGAGGAAACATGGGGAATTAGTGAAGGTGTAGTAAAAACGAAAACTATAATAAAATACAAATATTAACAATTCAAATGTAGTCAAAAAGTTAACAATGTACAACTAAGAGGATCAATAGGAACAAAGTGCAAGTATATACATGGAAGGATTTTCACAAACACACAAAGCATTCAAAATGGATCTTACATAAGGTTGTATAGAAAATTCATCATCGCCTACCAATCAACGCACTGAAAAGATGAACCCTTATTTTCGCAAAATCCTATGAAGAAGTCATGTCTATAAATTGTTACCTATATTAGCACTACTACTTTGTCAGCCCGTATTCTATTTAATGCATCCCACTAGTAAAATTATTTTTTTAAAGGTTTATTATAAACAACAGGAACTGATTAGTTCACGTGTTAGGTAAGTTAAAAAGTCCTGAGAACTATACCTGGGTATTTCTACTGCAGATTTTATATGAAGAAAGATAAAATCATCTACTTTCCAGAGAGTCGTTTTCTGATTTTTGATTGGCTCGTCCACCTACACTTTTGCTGAAATTTCTGTCACTTTGATCAGTTCACTAGTTTCTATCGCTTGAAAAAGAACCAATCACTATATTTAGACTTGCTCTAACATGCAATCGTTAGGATTATATCCCAATAAAATCTTATCTCACAAAT